CTGAAGCAGGTGGTCTTACCACTAGACCACAGAGGCGGTTATCGAGCTAGCAAACTCATTGCTCTTTCGACACGCCAGGGTTTGCGTGAAATTGTCAGCTCAGTTTACCAACTGTCTAGGCGGCTTTGTGACCCTTTTTTTTACGGGGAAAAAATGCGTTGAATCGCTTACCTACCCTGCGGGGACAGGGTAGGTTATGTGGGGCTCACCAAGTCAGAAGGACGAGGCATACCCACTAAAAAGACCCCGGTGCTCCGTCACTCGCCATAAGTGGGAGGAGACTGTGGGTTTCCGGACAACGCCTTCACCTACCACAGCATCTCCCGGGGCTTTGTGACCCTGTTACAACTCTCCTCGGTCTCCCCTACCAAGATCAGTTACTGACTCATTGTTGTTGATCTTGATGAATAAACCTCATGAATATGAAGTATATTTGAATTGATCCCTTCAGATTACGATCGGAAAAATAATATGGACGTTAAAAAGGTATTGTAGTTTGTTCATCCGATAATAAAGGTTTAAAGAAACAGTTACTTTTAGAGGCAGCCTATTTGGACATAAAATTAACACATTACAGGTTTATCATCTTTCTTCATCAATTTTTATGGCTTAAAAGTTTAATTACTACTAACCATAATAAAATTCCCATTACAGATAAGATCTCTCTCAAGGCCGAAGCATAGCAAAACTAGTTCTTTATCTTACGAATCGTTACCGGGCAGGGGTCAAACCAAAAATTAATCACATCGACACTTCATCTAAGGTATTATGTTTAATGATTCTTCAACAAGTGAACCTTGATCATTTCGATTTCCGATGAATAAATCCATCAGTCAATTGTCTTTAAGTACAGTATAGTGGTAAGTGAAGGCTTACCTTTGTAGGAATTCTTAAACATAATTGAGTTTCGTGTCAATTCTCGCGGAAATGAAGATCGCGTGCTTATGCTACGTTCTCTACTTCTTTGCCGCTGTGGTTTGCTTGTATTTTGCTAGGCAATTAGTGATGAACTAAAACCAATAACTGAGGTTTTTTGTATTCTAGGACTAATCCTAGAATACAAAAAACCTCAGTTATTGGTTCTTCAGCCTTAGCCTAAGCTAAGGCTTTATCTTCAATAAACACTAGCTTCATAATAATTATGTCACGGAGTAGAGACCATGGCGCTTGCAACAGTGCCGAAATATTGGAAACTCAATTATTATTATGTTAGTGACCATGAAAGTTTAAAACAGTACCTAAACACTTCCCTTTTTAAAGAAGCTTATGAAGAAAAGAGAAAACTTTTCGAACTCTTTAGTGCTGGTAACCGTAGTTGATTCAATTTCCCCCTTTGTAACTAAAAATACGTAAGGTGAATAATATGCAAAATGACTGAAGGTAAAATTTTCCATCAAAACAGTATCGAAATAGGTACTCGTAGGTACCTCGTATTTATATGGCTAATTGGCTTTACCTGTATCTTCACTTCTTATAGACTTTAATGAAGTTGTTCGCCTTCACACGTTGGCGATAAATCTTTTACGTAGATGATGTTTACGACAGACGAGCACAGACGAGTCTGTGAGTCCGTCATTTCGATACGTATCTTCTTTAATTTTCGTCCAGGAAATGTATCTTCTAGAGAAAGTCCAGGAAATTTAACATTGATTCATTTTGATAACTTTTCTGTGAATATTATATTGATGGTAATGTTGGAACTACGGTGGGTAGATTTTGAAGGTGCGCACAATTTAGACAGAAACGAGTAGAGTCAGTAACGTGATAATGATAGCAGTGTATGCGCAAGATGGAAACTTAAGTATGTCGAACAAAACTATACGAAAAACTGTGTACCATCGAACCGTAAAAAAGTTAAGTTTTTTGGAATACCTACACTATACATACCTACAACCAGTGATTCTCTACTGTGCCTCAATGGTCATGGTCACATAGGGTCAACTGGGTGTTATTGCTAAGTGTATTCAAATCAAAAATATTTTATTCAATTTTGACCAGTATTTTGGCACGTATCCTTGGTTTATCTGGAAACCAGTGTATTTTAAAGTTATTGTAGACATTTTAAAGCTTACCTTAAACCTCGTTATGTTAAATTGAAGTATTTACCTTGCACAGTTGATAGGTAGCTAACAGATAATTTTGCGTCAAAACTCTTTCTCAACCGTGTGACCAACAAACAAAGATCTGCAATTTTTTGCCGTAAATTTCGCAAACGATTTGACTTTCAAACTCCTTTGTGTGATCCAAATCAGTGGGCTAATTCAAATGCATTTGTCGAGAGTAGAAATCGTCTGTCAAATAATTTTCTAGTAATCAATTTTGAACTGATTGTCAAGGTAATACAGTTGAAAATTGAATATCAAAGCCAGACTACGCCTAATGTCAGATCAGCCGATGGTAGATGCCAAATTTCCAATATCGCGTACGAAGACGGAGAACTTTGTCAATATAGTGGTACATAAGGGTCATAATTAGTGGATGCCGACGATTTTCGCGCTGTCATCTCAACGACAGCCCACCCTTGTCGTTAGAGCAGTCGACTGGATAGAAAGCATGGAATTAACATGGTGATTGATAAACTAGGTGCAAATAAGCATAGGTATTTTTTATCCACAGAATGCTTTTTGCTTAAATTTGAAAATAAAGGATATTGTTCTGCGTCCATACATCGTTCGCCCCAAGCAATGAAATAATGATTTTTTTATGTGAAATTACTTAACGATTGTCACCTTATACTCCACTAGCTTTTCGCTCGCGGCTTCGCGCGCGTGGCCTACATTAGGTACCTACATATTTTACGGAACCCTATTATTTTCCAAAATAAAATTTAGCCTGTTACTCGTGGATAATGTAGCTTTCGAATGGTGAAAGAATTTAATAAAAACGGTCCAATAGTTTTTGAGGTTATTAGCATAACAGAAGTACATTTCCATTTTCATAAATCTGTAGAGAGGTCAACTCTGTACATGAAATATATTTTCAAAATAACTATCAGGGGGTGATACTGATGCCAAAAATGCAATCAGTAAAATTTTTGTCTGTCTGTCTTGTCTGTATGTTCCTTATAGAAACAAAAACTACTCGACGGATTTTAACGAAACTTGGTACAATTATTAATTAGTCTAATTAATAGTAATTAGTCTAATTAATAGTTAATACGCTGCCCTTGTAATCCTTGCCATACATCACTACCATGTCTGAGTCAATAATATAATATAATATCGGTTCTCTAATTAATTATAAATTGTGCCAATATCTGGGGTGGTGGGAGCCTGATGACCTGTACTACAGGTATGCAAATACCTATCACAGGCGTCAGTCTCACACAAACAACTTTGTTTTTGAATTGTAATTAATGTGCTTAAAAACTTGTGTCATTGTAATGTTTGTGATGAGAAAATAAATACTATTTATTATTATAAAATACTATTTATTCTTCATACTCCTGGGCAGGTTATAGTATACTTAGGAATTCCCACGGGAACAGGAATTAGCGGGAAAATCCTTTTGTATGAAAAATCTAAACCGCTTTAGTTAGACGCTTGAAATTTGACATGTAGGTATCTTAATAAAATTAAAGCTTAGTTACAACAGGATATTGCAAAATTCCCACGTGAACGGGAAAAAACATTTGAACGAAAAAATCTAAACCGCGTAANACTTTATTCAGCACAGATTAAACAAGCTAAATGACAAATAGAATAGATTGAAATGACAGATTGCACTTGAATTACCCTACAGACCTGTTATAATAATCCTCTATATTGTAGGTGTGCGCAGGAGTGGGTGCGATTGCCCAAACCTTTCCTCGGCCCATATTTGGGCTTGGACACGTGGGTAGGGATCATGAAAGTGCCAAAAGTATCGATACTCTTAAGGTATCGTGGGAATTCCATTTTTTAATGTTGAAAAAAAAAGATTAAAAACGTTTTTTTTAAGATTATTTGATTTTGAAGGCGATAGGCATTCGTAATTCATCCCTTGCAGAATTGCAAGCATTATTTTCTTGTTTTACAGTTCACTAGCTCTTGCCTACGGCTTTGCCCGCGTTAATTTTCATCTGTTACAGAATGTCTTTATCCATCCATTTATTATCTTTTATAGCTTATGTTCATCAGGGATAGTATAAATTTAATGGTGAAAGAATTTTTCAAACCGGTCTAGTACTTTTGGAGCCTATTTAATACAAAGAATCAAATCTTTCCTCTTTATAATTTTAAGTGGAGATTAAGTGACAAGACTTTTTTTTATGATATTTTCAGCAAGTAAATAAATACCTAGTTTAGTGTTTCCATTGTCTTTAAAAAAAGTAGTCCCTTATAATATTACAAAAGAAAGAAGCTTTTTTCTTATTTATTTATTTTATTTTTCTTTATTCAGAAAACCACAGCGTTCATTATGTATACCTGGGACAAACAGTCCAGTTAGGTAGGTCCAACTTCGAGAAAGAGGTTAATCGTCGAATCCAACTCGGCTGGGCAGCGTTCGGGAAGCTTCGCGAAATTCTCACGTCCGAAATACCGCAGTGTCTCAAGTCAAAAGTATTTGACCAGTGTGTGTTGCCAGTGATGGTGTATGGCTCTGAGACGTGGTCGCTTACTATGGGCCTCATAAGAAGGCTCAAGGTCACCCAAAGAGCGATGGAGCGTGCTATGCTCGGAGTTTCCCTGCGTGATCGAATCAGAAATGAGGAGATCCGTAGGAGAACCAGAGTGACTGACATAGCCCGCAGAATCGCTAAAATCAAGTGGCAGTGGGCGGGGCACATAGCTCGAAGAGATGATGGCCGCTGGGGCAGAAAAGTTCTTGAGTGGCGACCACGAGCTGGAAGACGTAGCGTGGGCAGGCCTCCCACTAGGTGGACCGACGATCTGGTGAAGGTCGCGGGAAGTACCTGGATGCAAGCGGCGCAGGACCGGTCTTTGTGGAAATCCTTGGGGGAGGCCTTTGTCCAGCAGTGGACGTCTTTCGGCTGAAACGACGACGATGCGGCTACACACGCCTCTCTTAGTCGAGCCAGTTCTGGAGACCACCAGTGCACTGCTGTGCGAGGCGGCAGCACCCTTACTCTGGGCATCGCCGCATCGCACACGTGCGACATGGCCTCCCTGAACCACTCAACTTCGCGGCCTGGCTCTGCTCCATCTGACCACGGCGACCAGCTCTCTACCAGTGCTGCTATTGCCAGTGTGTCGCGGTCTAGGCGCTTCAGCGCCCACCGCGGACCAATCTCTTCCGGGGATCGATTTGTGCTACTCGGGGGGACCTGGAAGGGGGGAGAGATGTCGAAACGCACATATCTGTGGTCCGACAGAGTCTCAACCCCCTCCATCACCTCCCAGGTCTGGACACGGCGCGCTAGAGCAGGGCTCGCGAACGTAATGTCCACAACGGAGCCGCCCTGCATTCGCACGCATGTGTCAACCGTTCCCCGGTTCACCACTACCAGTCCGTGCGATACCAACCAGTCCTCCACTAGTTCCCCACGAATATCCGTCACACGGGAGCCCCACGATTGCGATTTCGAGTTGAGGTCTCCGGCCACCAACACTTCGTGGGGACGACCCCACCCAGTCAGCAGAGTACCGGCCTCTGCTAGGAACGTCTCGAATTCGGCGACAGAGCGATTCGGAGAGAAATAACCCCCCACTATCACAATGTCGCCTACCAGAGCGGCGACGCATCCCCGGCCCCTCCGGATCTTACTGAAGGGTAAGGAGTCCGCTGCTGGGTTGGTGATCACTGCGACTTTGTCCTCCAGGTCGCCGGCCCAATCATCCCTCTCGTGCACGTAATAAGGCTCTGTCACCACACATACGTGTGTCATCCACTGTGCCATGCTCTGGTGTAGTAGATCCTGAGCTCTGGCACAGTGATTGACGTTCGCCAACAAGAACCTTTGAGCCATACTAATCGCCGGTCATCTGAACCTCCTCGTGCCCCGGTGCGGGCTGGGATGACATTGGCTGGCTCTTCCTAGCACTTGCCGCTGCCCTCCTTCCAATCTTAGTGGCAGGAGCCTTGCAGGCTTTACTGCCTACTCGATGCCCCGCCGGTCTGTCTGTCGTCGCGCAGAGTGAGCAGTGAGGGTCATTGCT